TTTTTTTTTTTTTTGACGTTAACTAGATATAGAAAAATTTTAAAAAAAAATTGCTCAAAATCTAAGGATCCGTTTGATTGCAAAGTTGGAAAATGAGTGGAAAGAAAATGAATTTCAGGGAATTGAATTGTCTAGAAATTATTTTACTGGTAATTGTAATTAATTGTGTTTGATTTGTATAATTTTCCACGTGAAAAATGTTGAAAGTTTGAAGTCTGTTTGACTTTGTTTTTATGAAAATTGTCCATTAAAATGATAATTTTTTTCTTGCAATTGGGTTTATAATTTGTTCAAATTGCCAAAAAAATTTTAAAAAATTACAATTTTTTTTTTACTATACCAAATATCATTTGTTTAGCTTTGTTTGGCATGAAAATTGTCAATAAAAGTGATAAATTTTTTTATCATTGTATTTAGAACTTTTTCTAATTGCCAAAAAAAAAAAAAAACCTGAAAATGATTTCAAGAAAATGTGAGTATGTGAGGAAAAGTGGGAAAAACATTGGTCTAGAAAAAAACCTATAAAACAAAAGAAACGTGAGAATAGAAAACAAATTCCATTTTTCATGAATTGGCTCCCTATCAAACACACCATAAACGTACAATTAAAAAAAAAAAAAAAAAACCAAAAGATAAAAATATTAAAGGCAGAAATGAGAAGGAACTAACGACGTTCATCGATCGATAACCGCAACTTATCTTTAGGTAATAGTCATTGAACTAGGATTAGTTAAACTTGGTAATTCAATCATATAGCTTTTCAAACAATATATTGTGTGTGTTTATATACACATATCTGACTCCGTTTGAGTCAAATTAAAATTTTCATTCTCATTTTTTATTCATTTTCAACCACATATTTTTCAATAAAATAATATTTTCTATGACATCAATAATTATTCCTTCTTTTTCAACCATACATTCCCCATCAATCAACTATTTCAAAATATATTCTTCCAAAATAATGTGGCTCAAACACACCCCATGTATCGTTCTTATAGAGATAAACGTGTTTTCACATCTGTCCGTGACTTCAGGGTATTCACGTTTGACATTGTTTCAATATCTTTTATATTCATAAGTCGGTAATGAAATTGATGCAAGGTT